TAGTATCAGCTGAAAACACTTAGGTTTTGTCCTTAGGTTTGGTACCGAAAAGTGGTCTGGCCCATGGACTTAAGATAGTAGCACTATCACCATAGCTACATCTTTGATTTTGGGCCTCCACGCTATTGTTGATTGACAGCTGTCACAACAGGTTATCCGCTGACCAGTATTACGTGACTATATCGCGGGCTCAGGTTTAGAGCTCATCGAGGTTGCGTGCCTTTTTAAAGTTAACCGCTGACCAGTTATTGGTTAACTGATCGGATCGCGGGCTCACGTTACGTTATTTCTCTGGAAGAGAAGGAAGGAGTACTCGCAAAGGCAAAATTTCGGCGCAAATTAACCCCTGACACGTTGTTGACTTTTCTTCTGACATATTCCTTGTACAATCGTCTCTTGCAAAGTCCCTGATATATTGCGTACGTAATTTCTACAATCTTGGCCATGGTTAGGCTTGTTGGGTATAGTTTGTTAAAATTTAACTGGAAAAAATAGCAAAACCACACGCTGAACAATTACATGCTCACAATTGGTCATATTTTGAGTTTCTGATCCAAAAAAAACTAATTCTCTTTTTCCTTTATCGCCGGTTATTGCAATCAGGAGCTCCTCTTTTAAGCTTGGCCTGTTTTACAATCTTACAGCTCAATAGCTTACTTCGTTTGGAAATCGGCATATTTTGGATTTCATAGTTATGGCGGTGCGTGACACAAAGCTACAATCGCATTTGTCGAAAAACATATACATATCTCATGATTTTTAACTTTTTCAGAAGTTAGAGCATTAGGAAAAGTGCCAACCTCGTTCCCAGGGTCTCTCATCTCACCCTCCCCCCCTCCCCCCCTGGAGCGAGCGAAGAGAGGGGCGGTAAGATGAGAGACCCTGGGAACGTGGTTGGAAAAGTGCTTATGTAAATTCTTGTTTTTTTTTTTCAATACAGATAATGAATCGCCTAAATAGCCAAAGTAAGTTCCAATTGTTTACACCACAAAGTTGCACCAACATGACGTTTCCATACTGGGCTCTGTAAATTTCCGGGAAACATTTCGGCGGATATCTCAGTTTGAGAAAATGCGCAGACCTCAAACTTGGAGAAGAGTCTTATTTATTTAGTTCCTATAAGATCACAATTTCTTGACCTTTTCCACTGGATGGTTTTTTATTTATTTTTTATTGTGTGACAGTGAAAACGATCTATAGAAGGAACCTCTACCTGCCGTCGATTGCGATATATCTCTCCCCTTCTTTGTCGCAAAAACGTTGCTTAATACCCTCTTCTCGGTGATTCGGTTCAGCGGAATCAATAGGCTGTTCCGGAAACGCGGAGTGCGGAGTGCGGAGTGCGGAGTGCGGAGTGCGGAGTGTAAAGAAAAGAAAAAATTAAAAAAATAGAAAGACAAAAAATTTAAAAGTGAGTTAAAAGAATAATTAAATACATAAATAAACTAGAAATAGAAATTTAAGAAATAAAAATAAAAATAATCAAAAAATTCACCTGAGGTGGACTGTTCATATCGCGTATATTCACGTACTGATATACACTCACGATTTTCATAGTTAGCAGTTCACCTTTAGGAAAAAAATATAAAGAACAGTCCAGTTTTGACCATGTCTAGGAAATTTGAGAAATTACAACTTCAGTTTCCTTGGAAAGCCGTGTTGCCTCGAAACAAACTCAAGCTTTGCTTTCCAGAAATAAACTGCCCGTGTGATTTAACCCTTGAACCATTCAAAACTTGTCAACTGCGCGTCCTAAAGTTCTCGCAGTTCGATTGATGAAGTTCAAACTAAAACCTTGAAAAATTTCCCTTAAAAAAAAAACCCTTTCGGAAAATTTTGAAATTGTAGGTTGCCAGAGATGCGATTTCATGCATTTTGGGGGGCAAAGTCACCTGCAAAGTGTTACGGAAAATGAGTTGTTTATGATCATAAAATTACAATTAGCAAGTAGCGCTATTTTACCTTTTTAAAAACTATTTTCTTCTTGAAACGTCTCAGTCTGTAATTCTTAATTTATTGTTATATGTTTACAAACTTTAATGACCGAACAGGTGGCTACATTCAATTTTACAGCCGGTAGAATTCCGCCGTTCTACTGAGAACCCTGTGGCTAATGGGATAACCCTGAAACCAGGAAACCGGAATCCGGAACCGGAAACCGGGAACCGGATTTTATTTCTTGACAGCCCTTTTACCACCTCTACAGAGCTACTCGCCAACGACATTTTAAGACGAGTAACACTGGGGATGAGAATGTTTGCCAACCAGACAAACGAGCATGCCCCGAAGTGACGTCAATGTTTGAAAGGTTGTTCATGGACGTTGTTGGTCGTGCAGTCAAGATTGTACAGAGATCAGTGCTATGCGGAGCGGGCTAACTAATTATTCTACCTTCATGGACTAAATATGGCTACGGTTAAGTAATTCGGTTTTGATGCCATTTATACGATTTGAGCGCGCGATTCTGGAAAGCTAAAACGCCGGTTAAAAGGCTGTTTTCAGTGCATGAATAAGTTTATTTCCATCTTCAAGTTAGAGTTAAAAGATTAAGGAATGAAAAGAAAAGAACACGAGCTGCTTGGGCGAGCTGAAGGAAATGAGAGTTGGGAGGAAGAGCCAGCTGATCAACAAGCTGATGGCCCGGAAGATGAATTTGACCGAGAGTTCTGGATTAAGGTATCAAACTTTTATGATTTTTTTAATAATCATGCACAATTTTTAAGAAAAACCTTATAAGGTTCTTAATGGATAAACATTTTTAGAAAAATGACAGTAGGTAGTTTTGGTAGTTTTAGTAGTTTTAATTATTGTATATTTTATATTTTAGATCTGTGATACTTGTATTTCTTATTTTAGATTTTAATACTTTTTTATTTTATAGAGGACCTCCCTGAAAGCCACGTATTTACGTGACGGGCGCTTCCTCTTTAAAGATTGTTTTTATTATTATTATTATTATTATTATTATTATTATTATTATAAGAATTTGAAAAGCGAGTTTGAATTGTGTGATATCGATATGAGGTAAATTACAATTTGATTATTTAATAAAATGTAGACATATTATTGGGTAACATTTCCCAGTACCCACGGTGGTATATAAATATTAATTATAACATAACTAAAGCGAAGCAAGCGTTCTGATTGGTTAAGTCATTGCCTACTATTTGCCCATGGGTGTACACTGCTGACATTTGTGCTTATGTGATGTACCTCAATAAAAGGACTTCTTTTGCTCCAATGTGTCAATGTTATGTCATAAAAACAAATGGTAAATGCCACAGCTGTACACTATTGAGTTATGGATACACTTGGGAGGTTTGCTAAGCACTCAAAAAGCTAGAGTCTCACTGGGCTATCGGCTCAAACATCTCTTACGCTTCTCTCATGCTAAGCAACCTCCCACGTGCATCTATAACTCAACAGTGTACGCTATGGTGTTAACCATTTGTTAATTAAAAACTAAAAATATTTCTTCAGTTTTACTTTGTATCCAGCTCTTGAACGCAACAGCCTAACATGTAGACAAATGTTTAGGATGACAAAATGAAATAAATTGTTCTCCCTGGTTAATGCATGACACTTAAATGGATATAATAACTCAGAAGAAAATAAAATTTGAAAACTGATAAGGTAGAAAAATGTTGAAGTTTTGTCTTGTGAAAAACATGTAGACACACTAGTTAACATAATATTTTTAGATTCAACAAAAGAGAAGTGAAGGAATGTCATGGAACAGAGCCATGGATGAAGTGCGAGTTGAAAGGCTGATCCAAAAATACAAAGACAGTGGTGAGCTAGTCAGTGAAGACCCTGCTCTTGTGATGTTAAAAAAGTGGCCAGCCTCAAAACAGTATCAAGATAATTCAGATCGCCTTCCAGGCCTTGAACAACTGGTATGTATTATGTATAAAATCACATCATCATAGCAGAGCTCCTGCACGCCAAAAGCATGCAAACAGTAGGGCCATACCTCAGAAAATTTGGTAACCCATTGATGTAAAAAATTTTGGTCACGTGACTGTCTGTATGTACGTACATCCCTACATACTTCTGTATGTCCGTACGCCTTCTTCATATAAATCAATGTAAAATGTCACTCTGCAACAATCTAGGAGGGGCTGGCTCAGACCGGCTTACAGCATACAACTTTGATATTGAGCATCCATGTTATGTTTAATTGACACCTGTCAAAACAAGGTATCTGCTGACCAGTATTGCATGACTATATCGCAGGCTCATGTTTAGAGCTCATCAAAGTTACATGTTTTTTTGAAGTTGACTGTTGTCCAGGTACTTTACCGCACATGATTGGTTCAAAACTTGTTGTGGCAATGTAGCACTGAAATTGGTTTCTCATGTATGCTTCAAATTTCATAACCTGTTCAGAACTTTACCATCACTTGCTGCTAATCTTTCACTTATTGCCATTTGCACAGTTCAGACAACTTTTACTACACTAAAAGGGAGCTTTATGCAGGCGATGAAGGCAAGTAACTGTTTCTAATCACTCAAAGTTGTCGGTTTGTGAGCTACTGCCGCTATCATCGGCAATTCTTCGCGTGTACTAGGCTTTCACGTTTTAATCCAAAGGAGTGTCTTTTTTTCATGTAGTATTCTCAAAGAATGGTTAAATCATGATACAAAACAAAATGCAATTTTGAGATGGCAGTACTGCAATATATTGGTGGCTAGTTGGGAGAAAATATATATACATGTATCTTATTAGATGTTGTGGTGTATAGTATTGCTGTATATTTTTACGAATTGTGCCATATTTTGATGAGCCCATAGGAGGAGTCAAAATACAAACATGGAGTAAAAAAAATAAAGCGAAGTACTACACACTAAAACATCTAATAAGAGAGATTTATTGTCCAACTGTTGTAGTCAATAAATTTATCAAATGAATGAAAAGAGGGAGAGTGTGACAGTTTCGCATGCACACACTGACCTGTAAGGCAAACAGGTTTTCTACTGTTCGAATAACTGTATTATATTGCGATATATTTGTACTGTTATTTGGACAGTATTCGCTGCTGTTGGGTAATAAAATCTTGTATTGGGAGGAGTCACAAAGCGACGGTATTTTCATCCAACAAGCTGCCAATATAATGTGGTTTTGCCATCTCAAAAACAAATTTCAATTTATTTAATCAGGAGCTCTGCTTTTAGCCTTGGCTAAATCTATATATTTTATTTTATTGAATATTAAAACTGAAATCACAGCTGGAAGAAATCTGAGAATATTTTGGATTTATCAGTAAACCTTCTGAGCCCCATTGTTAGTTGCATGTAGTGTCATGTAAGATTATTTCTTATGATAATTCTTATGATTAGTTCATAAGTGCTACATAAATTGACTGAGTATGAAGAATGTGGGTCACTGAGAAAGAATGGGCTAGTGAAGAACACAAACCACTAGCCTGACTGGAAACTCCACTAACCCTAGACTTGAACATATCAGACTTTCTTTGCTTTTGAAACACTATCGTTTTTACTAGCTATTTAATGGGTATTTTCACTCTGTCACTCATTCACTTCTTGTTAACTTGTTTACTAATCGTCCGACCACTGCATGTAATCTTCGTTGAACATTAGTATGACAGAGTATAGCTTGAGAGTTTAACTTGAATTTTCAAATCTATTTTCCTCAATTTGAATGAATCACACAATAATATTTGCATTTAGTGATAAATTAGCAGTAAGCAGTAAACTACCATTGGCATGTGGTTTCTTGCAGATTAATAGATTTTTGGAGATCCTATTAAAGAGTGAGCTCAATGCAGACAATAGATATGAGAAGTTCAGAGATGATGAAGATAAGACAAAGAAGACATTGATGCACTATGCAGCTGAGCTTGACTTTACACATGTCACTAAAACACTTGCAAAAAAATGTCCTCGTTTGTTGGCTCTGAAAACAAAAGGTCAGCTTAAATCTGGAAAGCGAGCTTTACTACCAGTTGAGTTGGCGTTGACAATGGAGAATGATGATGTGGCAGCATATTTGATAAGAATGATGCGCCATGAAAGGTAATGAGTGAGTTCAGTTTTCTACCCCTATGAGTTATCGGTCAGTGTAACACACATACTGCAGACTGTGGATTGTAGACTGGGAGTAACATGCAGGGGGAGACTCCCATATAAACAGGATGGGGTGCCTGCCATACCTAAAACGGTTTTGGTACCTCAGGGTGTTCAGCCTCAACAGGTTCACAGCAGGAGCTCTTGTGGTACCATTAAGGATATTAAGCTGAAAATATATGACATGAGATAATGTGCAGTTTTTGAATATTTGGTACCTATGATGGGTTCTCTTCAAAATTTCTGATGTGCATCCCTGTCCTTTTTAAATGGGAGTCCCTCCAGGGTAAAATGCAGACTGGGGTTAAAATGGAGACTGCAGTCTGTAGACTTTTTAACTGAATTGTGTTTACTTACCATTTCCAATTTGGGAGCTACAGTGTAACTGTAAACAGGCTAACCGGAGTGTTTTTTAGGCTAACTTAAGTGATGTTCAGGCTAACCTAAGTGATATTCAGGCTTGCCTTAGTGATATTCAGGTTAACCTGAGTGATATTCAGGCTAACCAAAGTGATATTCAATCTGACCTAAATGATATTCAGGCTAACCTGAGTGATATTCAGGTTAACCTGAGTGATATTCAGGTTAACCTGAG